CCCTTGTTCTTTTCAAATTAATAATAATTAATAATCTGCAGTTTGACAGTTGCATTTGGCAAGACTTCTTAAAGTAAAACAAAAACTTCTCAGATTAACAAGATTAATAATCCAGCATATTCTGATCTTATTTAATATACTGATCTAAAAACAAGATCAAAAATACTTTTTAGCTGATATAAGACTGTAAAACTTGGTTAGAGGAATGTTTTTCTGCAGTAAAATGACTCTACTGCTCAAAAACATTAACGGATTAAATAAGCTTCACATTCTAAATCTTTATCTTTTACCACAACTTTTGTAAAACACACCCACTGACTATGCAGTATGTAGAGGTAGTGATGTCAGAATGACAGCCTACATTCTCACACACACATGAAATCAGACACAGTCCTCCTCACGCTGTTTAAAACTGAGCGGTTGTTTATCGTTTGGCTCTCTCTCCCCGGTCTGTATACCAAATGTTTGGGTTGTGTTGGTCAGTCAGCTGTGGGGGCTTTTCCAAATTCTCCAGGGGGGCGTATGTGGAGTTCAGAGGCAGACTCCTGCTGGACAGATGAAAACTGAACAGAGGACGACCAAACACTGTTGCAGGGGAAGAGCAGACATTGGATTGACATCAAACGACTCTGAAATAAAAGCTTTCAGTTGTGTAAAGGAACTGAAGCCGACAAAATTAAAAGGAAAAAAAAAGAAAACACAGAAATGTCCTCTCCCTTCAGTTCAACACATTCCAATCCTGACACATTGTCTACAAATGACTTGAGGTAAAAAAAAATGTTTTATTTCACAGGTTTGGATAATGCATCAAAACATAGATGTGGTTCTTAACTTTTTTTCTGTCAAAACAAATCAAAACTAATTGTGATCATAATTTTTTACAGCTGTAAAACAAGTCGGTTTCTCAAACACGAACTCATCCAGCAGCAGGAACAAACTGAGTTTTATCAGGAGGATATCTGTTTGAAAGTTGCTTCAGGTGTGCAGACTCTGACTTGTAAAACTCCACCCTGTGCATTATCTGACAGGCAGCAACGCAGGGGAGAGGAAGTTTGCAACAACAGTGTGACAGCGACTGCTGGCATGAGCACATTGGATTAATTTGGACAGTCATGTCTTGGCTTAGAGGGGCCGTGTCCTCCCTAGGCCTGCAGACAGCACGCACAAAATGCCGGCGGCTGCTCCGTTCGTAAGTGCTTTTTGTATATGAACTGGTGATGGGCTGTATCCATTTGGCATTCCTCTCTTTGCTTTTTTGTTTTCCTAATCTTCCTATTTTTAAAACATTTTCAGCTGTAAATGAAAATGGTAAACTAACGATACTCTTAAGTACAATTTATCCTCACCTACTTCTGGCTTCCTTGAAATCGTTTTTACCCAAAAAGGAATTTAAWGTCTCAGCCATTTTCTCACCTATTAAAACATCCAAAGCTTTATATAAAAAAAACATAAGCACGTGGAGATAACAAAACCATTGTGCAAAAAATGTGTTGTTAAAACCCTAACATGCATTGTAAAAGTGATAAAATGGCTGCACCCACCTTATTTAGAGATCCGATTTCCAGTTATTAAGGATTGATTTGCAAGATAACTATTTGCATACACAGATTTGCGTAGATTAGTTCAAGGTTAGGAGGAGCTTACGGGAAAATACAAATCATGATGCCTTTTTTAAATTTTTTAAGGATTAAATCCAGTGATCTCTGTCAAACACACACACACACACAAAACAACAAAAACAATTTTGTCATTTTGTTGGGGAATTTCCTGTTTACCTGCACCCTGTTCGTCTGCTTCATTGAAGAGCTGGTTGCACCTTAAGGGTGGGTGGGGCTGAGTTTTTGTTGAACCCTGCTTTTGCAGGTCTCTCTCTGGGTTGCAGGTAGGGCTTTTTGTCCCTTTGGTAATTTTGCTGCCATTTTAACCCCCCCATGCACTGCACTACACCTCTGATGTTTACATTCCCACACAATTGAATAAATTGACGTGTGAACTCGTCCTAATTGCTACTAACATGAAACGGGTTGATAATGCTRTAGAAAAGGGTATTTTTGTGCAGATCTGGATATTCTTATTAATTTTTTTTCTGTAATAATTATACATTTTTTTTTATCAAGTCAGTTTTCCTGTCAGCGTACCACATGCCTTTTGTGACTTGGACTACGTTTTTTATTAGTTAGAAGAAATTAGGCACATCATTTGGCTTGCATGTGAGTCATTTAAGTAGCCACCTTCTTTTATTTAAAGCTAGTACAACCACATTCTGGAGAGGGGTTAAGCTGTTCTTCCTCAGTTTCATCATTAAACTTTTTTAATGAAAAAGAAAACATTTTTGTACCCTTTTTTAGATAGATAGATAGATAGATAGATATTATATTTTTTTAATCCAAGTTATATAATTGTAAATTAGGTCACATGGGGTGCTAGTTTTTGTAACGAAATTTTCAAAGTAATGTAGCAACGTTCTCCAGAAAGACAGACGGAAACTGACAAACAATAGGCTTAAAAAAAAACAAATCACTTACAGAGACAAGATAATAAAAGACGAGAGAAAACAAGGGTGTGCCGACTAACTCCAGACTTTGCAGCAGAAAGATGTTTAACTTTGTTTGTTTTGCTGTGGCACGGACTGCTGTGYATTCAGCTACTGTGCAGGATCTGTGGTTTGGTTTGTTCCCAGATGTGATGGTGCCACCACACCAGATTCTGTGGTGTTCTCCTTCTCTTACTGAAATTCCTTACTTTAAATGTTTTCTCTATCMTGCTGCTATGTTGTTCTGATTGTGTTAGATTGACTCAGAATGCCACTGAGTCGCTGCTTGTCAGTAAACTATAATCAGTGTTGAAAACAATTTTCAGGCTAGAGATTGAATAAGTATTAATTATGATTTTTTTTTTTTACCATTCTAATGGGACTAGTACAGKGGTGTCCAATCCTGGTCCACTATCTTGCATGCAGGGTTCCCGCAGATCCTTAAAGTCTTAAAAGGCCTTAAATGCATCACTCCAAAAATAAGGCCTTAATTAGTCTTCAAATGTCTTAAATCAATTTTCAGAAGTCTTAAAAATGTTGACACATTGTAAGTAGGATGACTGTAATTCATCTCAAATATTAAAATAATTGGTAACATTTATTTATTTATGAAATATTCCCATTCAGATGTTTCCTTTTTACACCACTTCCTGTTATTTCACCTGCAAATATCTCAACAACTGTCCATCTGAGCGGTGTGAAATTTGTTTTCTAATGCTAATAATGTTGTCTTTCCAAAAAAGCGTTCATATTTCTTACAAAAATTTGATGTCATAGGCACTTAAGGTTTTATCTACAGCAATCTAGGGTCGAGACCCCACTATGGGTTATAAAACTCCAAATTTTGGGTCGTTAGAGAATTTCCAGGAATTAAGTTAAGTTTAAAACTGACTGCTACGAATGTTTTTTTTTTTTGCTATATTTGACAAAATAGCAGTTAGATATGGATAAAAACAATTGGTCTATTAACAATATTTAAATAATTCAACCAAAAATACTGTGATTTAAGAGTTTCTGCCACAGTATTTTTTTTTCATTTGTGTTAATTGTGAAATTGGTCTTAAATTTGATTTCACTTGGCAWTAAAAAGTCTTAAATTCAACTTTCCTTAAATTGTAGGAACGCTGTGCATGTTTTAGAGGTTTCTCTGCTCCACACACATGGTTTGAATGATTAACAGGCTTCTGCAGAACTTTAGAAGGTTTCACCAAGTCAGATGTGTTGAGGTGTTCAACCCTGTTCCTCATGACCCACTGTCCTGCATGTTTTAGCTTTTTCCCTGCTTCATCACGCTTCAATGAAATTGTTCAGAATGTCATCAAGTTTAGCAGCAGCCTGTCAATCACTTGATCATTTCAGTTATGTGTGTTGAAGCAGGGAAACATTAAAAACATGCAGGGACAGCAGGTCAAAAGGAGCAGGGTTGAAGACCTCTACCTTAGGGAAATCAGCAGCCCTCAAGAACCAGAATTGGACACTCCTGGCATAATGCAATGTGTTTTTAAACATCATCAATGGATTCTCCCTTATTATGCTCTATAGATGGCCAGCTGTACACTTGACCATTATTTCAGACACACTAGCTGTGTCCCAAACTGCATTGAAATTCATTCATATAAATGAATACCAGAGAAATGTTATGGCATTTTTGAGTGAATAGCAAAGATACAAGTTTTCCCACGTCTTGATTAGATTGTCCCAATTTCTGAGCTTCAAAAACTACTTTTGGGTCAACAGATCATGAAACTTGCTCAGAATGTACTATGAGTTTGTTTGTTTTTTGTTTTAATGAGTGCTGTATAGTAGGGTTTGTGTAACAATAAATCGTTTCACATTGGTTATATGTTTGCTTCAATTACATCAATGCAAAAAAGTGCAAAAGATTGATCCATATCGTCAACATATGACCAATATTGACCAATGTCATATACCCATTTAACACAAATCATGACTTTGTTAGATGGGCTACCTTATTGATTGCAGACTTTTGTATTGAATCATAATTAGAGATTGACAAATGCAAGTTTTTTTATGCAGATGCTGATTATTTTGACATCATTCCAAACCGTTCCTCAATATGTTTTTTGGGCTGATTCTAGAGGCCAATATTTATTTTCTTCCTCCATTTACATGATAAAAGTGACACAATAATGACAAATGTTACACAATCTCAATTTAAATGGAAGAGAAACATTTATTAATAAAACAGAACATGTTAACAATGGATAGCAAACGTAGAACATTTAAATATGTAACAATAAAACCAATCTTAAGTTAGGATTGTTTTTGTTGTATTGGTGAATGAATGCACGAATTGGCTAAAGCCGATGCAAAAAAACCCCCACAAATGTTTCCTAAAATATTGGCCTGCCAATGTATCGGTTGACCTCTAATCAAAATCATATCATGACAGATTTTATGATATCAAGAAACGTATTGACATCCAAACAAAATCAATATAATGTATCATAGTAAAGCTGGTGATTTACACCCCTACTATACAGCCGACACACGACTTCTGATCACTGGAATCTGAGTAAATGAAGTCACCTGTCCCAGTGATCAGGGATTGTCACATACTTACTTTAAACTGTCTTAGGTAACATTATTCTTATGTATTTAACAGTACTACTGGTCTATGCTAAGCTATGGCATCTGAGCACAGAGCAGTGGAATATGGTACCAAAATGGAAAGTGTCAAAGTCAAGTCCAAATTGACAGTGTGTGAGTGGACAGGTCAGTAGTAAAGAAATAAAATCTACCAACATTTTACCAGCATGTGCACTCGTTATGAATTATTTGATGCTATATTTACACTTGAGTAAGCCTGCTAATTGTTTGGACATCCTGGGTCGTCACAGCATCTGATTAGTGATGTCATCACAGACAGTTGTTTATTTGCTTTAGGCGCACCACAATCACTGCAGCTCTCTKCCTTAATAAATACTATTGCCACTGAGAAAATATTAGCTCTATAAAGCAAGAATGGTAGCGGAAGACGTCATTCAGGAAGTATGTTGTTTATACAGAAACTTAACTACAAGCTTTAGCTTAAGCTTCTTTTAAGTAAAAGATTAATTTTAAGTTATTTTTAAGTTTGTTTTATAGTTCCCGTTCTGATACAAATAAGGTTTTCTTTTTTTATTTTCAGACCTTTTTTTTCCTGTTCTCTGTTAACCACACATCCTACAGACAGAGCTTGTTGAGTCACAAAAATTGAGAACTACATAACCAGTCAAAATGACATAAGCACCACTCACAACAGGCACATCAGTCTGGCGCATGTTGACATTTTTTGTGATAGAGACTAGCAGGTAATCGAAGTATTGTTGGCTACAAGGAGTTTGGAACACTTTGAAGAAGTTTTGTTCTCCCATGCGCCTGGTTTTTTGTGAAACACCAGAACGTATCTGTGAAAACAGACAAACTGTAGAATTTAGACTTGAGCGTGGGATGGAATTGAATCTGGTTTGGGACGTGAYCTGGCTTTACAATCACTAATGTTGATGTTTTGTGGAAATGACACTGAATAATTTGATAAAACTAGAACTGTCCTTTTTTTTCTTTTCTCTTTATTTCTGTCCTGACATGTGCTCTTCTCTGGGCTCTTATTCAAACCTCAGCCTTTGCTCCTCCCCAGCCTACTCCCGCCTGCGACTCACTTGTTTCTTATACTGGAGGGGTACAAAGTGCTGAACCAGCTACTTTAGAATCGTGCTGCAATGCTTGGAGGTCACTGGCAAAGTTGCTGTCTTGGTTTTAAAATCCCCTCCAGACTTTTTTTTTAATTTTTTTACATTTATTACAGTCTTCCCAAAGTATTTTTAATTTAAAATATGAATAAAGTGATTTTTTTTTTTTTCAGATATCAGTTTATAAAAAAAATCCTTCTGCTTCTTTGCTTTCAGGATGAAAATGCGACGGCACAGAGTGTTCTTGCTGTGCACGGTTGGTCTGTGCGTCATCTCCTTCCTCCACTATTACAAGGCCCTCCATTACGTCTCCCTGCTGCGTGAGCTCTCCGCTCCATACCCCAACATCAAGTCCTTCATCATGGTCTCTGGATTCTTCTGGAGGGAGAAGGGACTGGCTACCACTCCGCTCAGCCCTGCCTCTCCCGAAGAAGSCCCTGGTCTCAGCCATCTGGACCCCAAATTTGGAGGAGGGGCAGGTTCTTTAGTGGGTGAAGGAGGGCGAGGCCAGATTGAAAGACAGGGCAATCCTCAACATCGCTGGRAAATTCATGATGAAAATGAAATTGGAGACATAAAAAAGGAGGTAAGATATCTAATCAGTAGGATTGCTTACATTGATAAATAATGAAATCTGAAATGTAAACATTGCCAAACACAAACACCAAAAGGTCATGTGTCATTTGTGAGAGGGCACATGGTGGTTAATTAAAATTTTTGCCAAAGGTTGTAAAATGAATCAGGTATGACATTCGTTTCTTTAGAAAAAAAATTAAAATATCTTACATGGCATTATTTTATGTCATAACAATTTATTAAGTCGAACCTCAAGTAACAAGTTAAAGAGAAATTACCTTTTGTGGAATGAACGTGAAGAGGAAGGACTTTTTTTTTACCAATTTCTTCAACTCTCTTTGTGAAAAGGAGATATTTGCCACTGAATTAACATTTTCTAGTGCTAAAATGAAGAAAGCAATATCAAGAATGTACTTCCACAGTAAATGTTYAACATGTACGGTTATCTGCATCCATCTGGGGTAAACAAAGTCTAGCATTTTGCTGGAGCTCACATATTTAACTGTTAGCTGAGAGCTTTTGTTTATTTGAATTAATGCTGAGACCACACACTATCATCAGCGCAGTTGTTGCCAGAACTGCAAGCACAAAATGTCGACTCTCAGACAATTGTCCTGATGAACAAATCCATTATGCTATTTACATGTTTGTGTAAATATGTCAGACAAGCCAATAAAACCATTACATATCTTCAAGTATTTAAAAGTGCTGGGCATGTGAGCGTATTTATTTCTTTATATTTCTCTGACAGATCTCTGTTCACTGGGCAGCTAACACACACACAGACACACACAAACGCAGTGGTTATGGCAGGGAGGATGGATCTTGATCACTACTGGGTTTAAATGGCCTTTGTCGCACATCTCAACAAATAAGAACCTTTGTTATCGAGCCATTGCGTGGCAAACTTGCAGCCGCTCTCATGAACCTGACCGAGCTGCAAGCCGGGGCAGAAACATCACCAGATTTTTTTGGGGCATATTTTATTTTAAAACTTTTCCCATCGGCGGGCTGGAAAGAAGTAAAGTTCTCTGYAAGCGCTGCAACTCCAAACTGTCTCACCACYGGAGAAGTTTGAGTCTGAAATATTTAAAACCAGCACAAACAAACAGGAGGTTCTGAGAGGAGGCTGAGAAGCGTGTTCGAGAAAAATAGAAGAAAGTAA